AAGATCATTCTAGGGGCAGTGCTAAGGGTGACATGGAGACGCAGTTACAGAGCTTATTCAATAAGGCAACAACAGGAGAAATAAAAACGAAGGCTCAGATATGAGAAATGTTACAGAGAACAGGCTACTAGAATTTGACTATTGATTGGATAGTGATCTTTCCAGATATCTGTTTTCTCCCCCGAGTCAGTTTCCTAGAAATGCCATTAACAAAGTGCCTCAGGCTTCAAACATTTATTGTCTCATAGTTCTGGAGGCTAGAAATCAAGGTGTCAGCAGGATCGATCCCTTTTGAGGTCCATGAAGGAGAATTCATTCCTGGATTCTCTCCTAGCTTCTGGTGACAATCTGCAATCCTTGCCATTCCCTGGCTTATCATTACTCCAGTCTCTCCCCCATCTTCACATGGCATTCTCTGTCTCTGTTTTCTTATAAGGACCTCAGTCATCTTGGATTAGGAGCCAACTCTATGCCTCTATGACATCATTTCTTAACTAATTATATCTGCAATGACCCTATTTCCAAATAAGGCCACTTTCTGAGGAATTAGAACTTCAACATATCTTTTTGAGGAACACAATTCAACCCATAATATCCCTCTTCCCTAAAAATAGAGGCCTGATTTTGGGCTGACCAGCCCCAGGATGGAGACTGCTTTTCCTAGCTTTGGCCACATGGAAGGATACTGTTCAATGAGGTGAAGGTAGAATAGTTGTATGGTAGTTTCTTCTGCGAACTTTTCTTCAGAAACAGTGTACATGTACCCTTTTGACCTGTCTTCATGATTTCCACCATCCTGCTTCCAGAATACAGTTGTCAGCTACAACCGAAGCAATCTTCACTCTTACAGATTTACAGATGATGATGACTGGGCCTTTTGGACACCCTGGATAAGGTGTTCACGTAGCTCTCTTTCCAAAGGATAATACAGAAGTTCCTACCTGCAGCTGACTCTAACACACAAGGTGTGCTTTTTTTTGGATGACACAATTTTTTAAAATTTGAATTAAAAAGCATTTTGGTAGGGCATTTACACCAGTTCGGTAGGGCATTTACAACCATGCCCATTAGATCTAGCTTTACTTAGCTATGATACATGCCTGTTCTCTGAAGGAATTGAGTTTAAGACCTCTGAAATATCTTTTCATTATGTTGAACATTTATTTAGACTAGAGGCTGAAGGCTGTGGGGAGGAAAGGCCCCCTGGTGGTGGTGGTCCACCTTTTCTCTACCACCCAGAGCAAGTGAGTTCTAGAACCAAGCTCCTACATAGACTCGACTCAGCAAAATAGAAATTCTGCAATTACCCTGACACCCACTGGGGAGAACAACTTTAGCAACGATTTATGTTATTCTCGAATGTTTTGGAGATCTCTCTTCACCAATAACCCCCATCTACCAAAGTAGTTGATGAACATGTTTCTTCTAAAAGCACAATCTCCTTCCTGAGAATTCCGGTCAGTGGATTACCTTCAACTGGCCACACTTCCAGGGATATTTTAGGACCTTTAAGAGACTGATGCTCCCAGGACATCTAGCTCTGTCCAATGCTTCTAGTGTAGCAGGTGGTGCAGTTTCCAGAGATTGGGGACACTGCAGAGGGGACAGTTTTTAAAAGGAAATAACGAGTACAGTGAGTACATATAGAATATGAATCACCAGTAAGCCATCCACATGGATCGTTCAGAACAGGCAAACCGCATCCTAGGTCCTAGAGCAGTGGTTCTCAACCTTCTGGCCTTTAAATACAGTTCCTCATGTTGTGACCCAACCATAAAATTATTTTTGTTGCTACTTCATAACTGTAATGTTGCTACTGTTATGAATCTTAATGTAAATATTTGATATGCAGGATGGTCTTAGGTGACCCCTGTGAAAGGGTCATTCGACCGCCAAAGGGGCCGCGACCCACAGGTTGAGAACCGCCATCCTAGAGGGACTGTCAAAGCGGACTCTCACCATGTCCTGCCAGATGTGCTGGGCCTGGATATACGCCCAGGAAGAGAGAGCATTCGAGCAGGATGAGGAGCATTGGCAATGCACAGAAAGATTTGGGGGAGTAAGGGTATGTTTCAGATCTGTATGAGATCTAAATGGTGACTCTCACCTCATCTCCACACTACTTTTTCTAAAGCTTTTCAATGATTCTTTATTGAATCCTTGGTATTTAGAAATCTCCTTACTTAGTAGACTTCCCTATAGCAAATACAATCCATTTGTAAATCAGGGGAAAATATACATACTAGGTTATAAAAGGGTGGTTTCTTAACTGGTGTTAAGCTACAAATAATCTTTTAAAAAGTGGCTTTCTCAGCTCAAAATGCAGACATTACAGTGTATTTATAGCAATAAAAAGCTGGAAATAACCTAATATCTAAAACAATAGAAAAATTTAAGCAAAATATGATATGTTCATATTATGCCATGTTATGTAATCATTAAACATAATTTTATAAAGAATTTTAAATAATAAGTGAACATTCTTATTAAATCTAGAGCAAAAGAAATCTGTTTGATATGAATTATTACACAATATGTCACAACAAGCTAAGTATACAGGAGTGGGCAAAAGTAGGTTAATAATAATTATTATTATAATTAATTAATAATAATACAAGAATAAAATGTGTTTCACATATTCATAACTGTAAACCTATTTTTGCCAAGTCTATATATTGTAAAAAGACTTGCAGGTATAAGATAAAATGTTTCCAGTGTTTTCTCTGGTTGATGAGAGAATTCCTATTTTAATACCATAAATGTGCTATTTTTTCTTAACAAAGAAAAATAAGCAACTCAAAGCTGTCATTTTTTGTGATTCCAAAGGGGTTTTTCTCATGCCCAAACCTCTAAAAGGAATACATCCCAACTTCTACCCTTGTGGTGCAGACAAATGTGAAGAGGGAAAAATGATTTGCTCAAACATTGATATTACTAGAAAATGCTTATCCAATATAAACACAGCATTGCAGAAAATGCATAAACATTGATTATTATGAGACTAGGCATAAACAATTCTTCCTCCTGCATTTTTAAGTAAAGGCCCATGGCTATATGAAGTTGGCTTCTTGGAATACAACATAAGGAAGACACAGGGGTCCCTGTCATCTCCAAAATTAGCAAGGACTATCATGACTAACATGTCAGATACCTTTCCCTGCAAAAAAGAAAAGAAAAGAATATCAGTTTTTAGAAGTACTCAAGGAAGTTTACCTTCAGCCAATATACAGAGTAAGATTTAGAGCTCTAACAATAATACACAGTTATCAAGAAGTTTCCAAAATTGTGCACTGACATTCTCCATAAAATATTTGAGTCCAGGTTTATGCAAATGTTTTACTAAAATCTGCCACAGAACTCACTATCTTACCATGATTAGACAGTCACCAAATAACAAAGGAAAATCCTTTGTTTAGGAAAGATTCAAAACACTTCGAGTGCTATTGTTATTTATTTAAAAGAGAACTGAGTGCAGAATAAAATTTTAAATGACTTTATGAAAATATTTTTATATTTTGCAATGATAGGGACAGGGAGTCTTATTAATGATTTTAAGGCATTAATCATTTAGTTTAGGCATATCAAACTAAAAGGATATCACATGAACTCATAAAACTTTAAGGACCTAGCAAGATAGATTTTCAGTAGTTCAACTTTTTAAGAAAACATTTAAAAATTTTGGACAGAGAGGAAACCTTTTGGTCTATGGGACAATGTTCCAACTAACTGAGCCACAGTGGCCAGGGCAGTAGGTCTACTTTTAAGTTTTCTAATCTTATGAACATGTGGCATGGACAAACAATTAAAAACATAAACTCAACTTTTACATGAAGATAAAGCTATATAAATCATCAATAATGAGTAGTTTCAGGCTGGTAGAATCATCTTGAAATTATCTTTATTTTTTTATGACATCATATCTGTTAGCATAAGTATAAGGCTAATTTTAAAAATCTACTGGCTTTCTTAATTTTGGTTTAGAGCTTGATTGGAAAATTTCCAGCTAACATTTGTGAGTTGTAACGTTCTCTTTCTCTCTCCCAGTGGCTTACCCTGCCCCTGCGTCCACAGTCTCTGACTCAGAGACTATTTGGAGAGGACACCTGTTTTAAATGGATCCACAGGAAATACCTATGCTGTCTTTTCATAATTTGCCCCTGCATCTGGTTGGCTGAAATGTGATCACGCTGCCCACAGACTGATGAAACTCCAATGTGACAACATTTACTGGAAGGCAAGGAGAATCCAGTTTATATTTATTTTCCTTCCATTAAGGCCTGGATGTGTAGCGTAGGAAAAACTAAATAAGCAAAAGGGCAAAGCCAGTTTAACCCTGAGAAGAATAGTATTAAATTACACATATGGGTTTTACATCCTAATTCAGAATTTGTTTTAAAGCAAAATGCAACCTTGCAGCATAAACAGTTATCTGGTACTTTCTCTTTCTATAACTTTTTATCCATAAACCTCTTTGTTCAAAGTTCACAGTCTGTCTTCTTATGTATTAACAGGATATTTATAAACCTCCTGTGGAAAGGGCAGGGAAGTCTATCTACTGGGATGGCATTTATAAGGGAGTTTTATAGTGATGAATAGTAGTCTGACCCTAAAAATCCCATTGGGTCCAAAATAAAGCAAGTCCATCTACCCGTGCTCAGGTCGCCTCCACCAAACCCCCAACAGGAACCACCACAAGGACCTGCGCAGAGATCCCCCAGCTGGAAGCCTGGTGGACCCCGGGCTCCCCAATTCCGGGCCGGGTTTCTGACCTCCCGCCCGCCTCGGTGTCGTCACCCGCAACAGTC